CGTCCAGCTGTTGATGAACGGCCTTTCCCCATTGGCTGGGCACACTAGGGCTGAGAACAACCGAAGGTCCACAACATCTGGATAGCTGCAAGTTTAGCCACATACTTTTTTTAAAAAAATTCCTTCCTCTGCCCCCAGTCCTACCTGGATATATTTGGAGTTTAAACCTAAGATGTTCTTGGAGGTTTTGAGCCTCACAGGTTGTTTTTAGTAGGTTTGGCTGCGAGGGATCTTTTTGAACTGGGGTGACTGTCAATCTATCCAACGCCAACCAATTGTTCCCTCTTGCCTTTAATTCAAATAGAGCCCCACGCCTCTGCTCTTATTTTTCATTTACTGTTGCCTGCGGGAAAGCAGTGAGTCTGTTGAACTCTGTTGCCGAAGGCAGTCCTGTCTGTTGGCTTGCTGTTTAATTTGTTCAACTCAAAGTAATGAAACCTCTTATTCAGCCGGCTGGCGGGGGCGAGGGCGATGTGTAGCTTGCAAATTGTAAACTGCTCAGAAAGTGCTTTAAGCACTACGGGGTGGCATAGAAGCAGTATGCTTTGCTTCTTCTTTCTCTTTCTATTAAGACTGTAAGTGCCAGTTGATGAAAAAAAAGGGGTGGACCATTCTGGGGAACTTGAAACTATTCTGTTCTATAAATCCCTGCGCTTCCGCTGCACAGCTAGACGAAGTTAACCAAAAATTAAAAATACTGCAACAGTTCTGTCAGCCTAACACATGTTCCACCGCTGAGTTATAGATCTTGCATGCATGATTAGCAGTATTCTCTTCCTCTTTATACACAGCGCCAGTTCAGGGAGTGAGTCAGTGTTTTTCCTCTTGGCTTCAGATCACAGCCGTGATATATGGCCAACGGATAACGATCTACACACATAGGTTCCTTCAACCGGCTTTTTCTCCCCACAAATTCGTCCGTCGAGTGTGGATCATTTCCCGTACTCGGTACGCCGCCATCGTCTTTCTACGTCCAAGGACCTGACTCAGTGCTTGTCGAGATGCCTCAAACCAGATGTTTCTTAGCAAAGAGAAGCTGACAACGTTCCCAGACTGGGGCGGACCGGGTATGGTAGGAGAACGGGAACCGGTAAAGTCATTCGACTTAGCCAAGGGACGTTGAGTAAGCAACCAGCTCAGCCGCCGACCCTCCCCTCCCCGCAAGCCACACATGAATAATTCCCACCTCATAAGAGAGACGGATCAAGCAAGGGGGGGGGGAGGGAAGAAGGAAGGCAAGACCCCTCCTCCCCAAACATGAACACAAAAGGAAAGGAATTTTTGCTCAGAGAAAGCTGGCAGGGATCTGGCACAATTTAGGCGAGTTTGGGCCCCACCCTGTTGGCAACCTGTGGGCTTCTTGAAACAACCACCCCATGCCCAGTTCATCGCAGCGAAGGAGGCGGCCGTCCCAGCAGACGGGCAAGAAAAATGGGGATTCACCTGAACTAGGCCTTAACCCAAATGTGATGTGCTGGACAGAGTAGGACTCATGAGACCTGGGTTCAAATCCTTTCTTTGCCTGGGGTGTGTGTGTGTGAGAGAGAGCAGGGTAAACTACTCCTGTGACAACTTGAGCTTCTGAGTTATTTTTGAGAACTCTTTCAGGTTGTCGGATGTTCGTGACAATAGCAGCATCTAACTATCCATCTCTAAAATAAATAAATGAATAAATATCAGAATTCTGCAGAGTCCATATTTTGTTTTGGTTCCCCTCACCCTCCCCTCCCCAATGAAGGAAGAACATTGGGGAAATACATTAATCGTACTTTAGCTCGACGGGACTCCAGGCCCGCTTCCAAATTATTAAAAAGTAACTATCACCGTCTCCCTTTCCAAGATGGATTCGCCAGAGCAAATTTTGTTCTCACTGCGTTTGTGAGCAAATTATTGCCAGGAAGGGCAAAACCGCTTCCCCTCAAGTAGCCAGCTGTTCTTTCCACTGTGTTCCTTGAGTCAGGAGGTTCCCCACTCTAAGGCATCAGCCCCACACAAGGCTGGCATCACAGATCAACAGAATCAGGCACCGTGCGGGGTGGGCCATGGTAATTAAAGCAGTCTGCGTTATAATGCAGAGGAGTGGGAAGAGACCTAATCTTGCACGGGCCATCAAGAGCCATTCACTGCACAAAAGAACTGCTCCTGAGGGAGATGAGCACACCTAGATCTCATTTGCCAATATGGAGCAACACAACGGCCGAAGGTGCCACATGCAACTTGCCCCCCATCAGTGCATTGCATAAATGTCTTAAGAGGGGCTCCCCTGCTTGTAAACATGGATGGAGATTCCAGAGGAATGAGATTCCCTTGTATCATTGTGTGTGTGTGTGTGTGTGTGTGGGTGTGTGTGTGTGTGTGTGTGTGTGTGTGTGTGTGTGTGTGTGTG